CTGGTGACACCGTGGGGTCACTCACCATCTGCCCGCTGTAGCCAGGCCAGGTCCCGATCATGGATGATCCGGTCGGCCCCACGCGCCTCCTCCCCGTGCGGGTCTTGCCCGGCCGCCGCCACGTGCTCGGTGAGCACCACCCCGAAGCGCCGCAGCCGCGACACGATGCGCGCGTACAGCCTCTGGTCCTGGCGGCCGCCGCGGATGCTGCCGCAGAAGTACAGGGCCCGGCCCTGCGCGCCTCGCTGCCCCGCGTCCCCGCGCGCCCCAGCCGTGGCCATGGCCGCTCGCGCCGCCCGAGGCCCGCCCACCACGTGACCCGAGGGCTGGCCCTGCCGCGCCGAGCCCCTAGCGCAGGCCTGCTCTCCCGCGCGCCCGTACTGTGGGTGGAGACTGAGGCGGAATAGTCGCCAGTGGGAGCTCAAGCTGGGCAAGCTGGGGACTTGGTGAGACCTTGTTCAAAATAAGGGGCTGGGACATAACTCACTGTGAAGTCCCTGGGTTCAATTTTTTTTTTTTTTTTGTGGAACCGGGGATTGAACTCAGGCCCTTTCGCTTGCTAGGAAAGTGCTTTTTCCACTGAGCCATCTCCCTGGCCCCCCTGGGTTCAATTCTTAGTTTCAAAACAAGCAAGGCACTTTCCTACTCAAGCTACCTGAGACCAAACAAGGCTTCGCTCGTACTAAGCAAGCACTGTATCAGTTTCTTAAATGTTCTTTATATATTTAGTACAGGGTCTACAGGGTCTCACTCCATCGATCAGACTCGTAGTTATCCTGCTGTTTTCAGCCTTCCAAACCCTGCAGCACAGGCATGTGGTTCCAGGAATCGAACCCCGGTCCCTGCGCCTGTCCGTTGAGCTATCTGGCCAGCCCTGTATCAGTTGTTTTTAAGACAAGGGCTTGCTACAATGCCCGAGCTGGGCTCGAACTAGCACTCTCCAGGCTCAGCTCTGTTCTCTAGTGCTGAGATGACTGGCCCACACCATCGCGATCCGCCCAGGTAGTTATTTATTTATTTATTTATTTATTTATTTATTTATTTATTTATTTATTTATTTTTGTGGAACCGGGGATTGAACTCAGACTCTTGTGCTTTTTAAAGCGCTAAACACACAGGGGGAAAGATAAGAGATTGCTGCCCCCACTCGGCCTGTGGTGAAACCTGAACACACACCGTTGTACACTGGCGCCCCCTGCCGGCACCTTCTGCACCACACGCACACCTTTAGGGGGCTCAGGCGCAGGGGATTTGTGCTCTGACCCTCCCCTGCAGTTCACACCTTCCCCAGGCTGACCTGGGGAGGGAGGCCCACGTACGCACACGTGAGCACGCGTGCCCACACGGACCACCTGTAGAATTTTTCAAGAAACATGAACTGACCTGCACTCCCCTGGCTTGACCAATGGTACCACAGAGGTGAGTTGGTGACGTGCACACAGAGGACCTGTAAAGCCGCGAAGCCCTTCTGTGTGACACCAGAATGGAAGATGCGTGGCACTACAGATTTGTCAGAGCCCAGGGAATTTGCAAGCCCACCTTAAGCCCAGTGTAAGTGGTGGCCTGGGCTGACAATGGTGTGGCTCCAGTCGCTGGAGAGGAGAGGATGGGGCTGGGGAGAGGGCGCTCTGCAGCTCCCAGGGGTCTAAAATTGCTCCAAGACATAAAAGTGCTACACAAAGACAAGTCATGGTTCAAAAACTTTGAGTTTATTGTTATGGAAAATAATCAACTTAGATACTAGAACGGTTGCAGAAAAGGAAAGTGGACCCAGTGTTCTCCAGGGCTGGAGCCCTGGGTGGGAATTGACCTCGGGGGCCCAAAGGACACCCAGGGGTGATGGGAATGACCTAGAACTAAATGGTAATGATGGTCGCACAAATGTGTAATTTATAAAATGCATTAAATTCTGTCTCATACTTGGTAGACTTTATGCTACATAAATCGTGTCTCAGTAATTTTTTTTTAAATTTAACTTATTTGTGTGTGTGTGTGTGTGTGTGTGTGTGTGTGCACATGTCCAGCCCAGCCCACCAGGGGGCGGGGCTGGCCTGCATGCGGTACTGGGGATCGAACCGCGGTCCATGTGTTTCGCCAAGCTTGTTCCAAGTAGGCGCTTTAGACCACTGAGCCATCTCACCAGGCCCCTCAGTAAATTTTTTTTGGTGGAACCGGGGATTGAACTCAGGTCCGTGTGCTTGCCAGGGAAGCGCTTATTCTACTGAGCCATCTCCCCAGCCCTCAGTAAATTTTTTGAAGCAACTTTGCTGAGGTGCAGTCAGTGTACTAAGCTCAGCACACATGTAGACACACAGTTCAGCGAGTGTGCGCGCAGGCATACGCCTGTGATGAGATAGGGACCGTCTCCGAAAGTGCCCATTTCCTGTGTGTCCCGGTGTTCTTGTACCCGCGCTCAGGACGCTTAGCATGAGAACTGCCCCCTTCACGGAGTGTTAGGTGTGCGGTACCCCCCTGTGGACTGTACACACGATGTGATCCAGCAGATCTCCAGCACTTGTTTATCTAGCACGAGTGAACAATCTCTAGGGAATAATTCTTTATTTACCCCAATACTCCCTGGAAACTGCTGTTGTAGTTTATGCTTCTGTAATTTTGACTTTGCATGACAGAGCAGGGTCTCAATAAGTAACTAAGCTGCCTAGGCTTGCTTGAGCTTGCTGTCCTCTTGCCTCAGCCTCCCAGAGTGCTGAGATTCCAAGCACATGCCACCATGCCCAACTGAGTTTGACTGTTCTACTGTTCTAGGTACTACATATAAATGTCTACAGTATTTGTACTTTTTTCCCCTTTTTTTGTATTTTAGGGAAGGATCTACAGGGTGTTCAGGGTCTCACTACTAGATGGGACTCATAGTGATTCTCGTGTTTACAGCCTCCCAAGAGCTGGGATTACAGGTGCGCGCCACCATGCCCAGTATCAATCGCCGTCTCAGTGTGCCTCGGGGGCGGGGCCAGCCCGGCAGGCCCCAGGATTGAACCCCGGCCCCTGCACCTGCTTGCAGGCACTTTAATCCACTGAGCTAGTTGGCTGACCCTAGTATTTGTACTTCTAAGGGAGACTTATTTCATACAGCATAAAGTCTGTCAGGTTCATCTACATTGTAGGCTTGCTGATTTCAAAATATATTATAAAATCTGCAGCAACGAAAGCAGTATGGTAGTGGTACAAAGACATGTGTGGGCCAATCAAACAGAACAGAGCAAAGAAATAAGCCTGTGCGTATCATAAGAAATGTGACTACCTGATTTCTGACGAGGGGAAAATACAGTGGAAGAGGACAGACTCCTCAACAACTGCAAGTGGGAGTACACAGAAGAGAGACATCAGGCCCCTCCCTCCCACCACGCACAGAGGGCATCTCAAAAGGGATTAAAGGGCTGGGGAAACAGCTCGGCAGTCTAAGTGCCTGCCCGGCAAGCCCAAGGACCCGGGTTCTATTCCCTGGTACTGCACGCCATGCCAGCCCTGGAACCCTGGGCGTGCCATGCTGGCCACTGAAACCAGGGTGGTGGCGCATGCCTGTAATCCCAGTGCTGGGGATGCTGAAGCAGGGTCACTATGAGTCTAAGCTGCATAGTAAGACCCTATATCAAATAAATAAAGATTTAAAAAATATATATATA